GCTTCTTACTTGGTTGAGTTAAATTTATCACTGCAAGGACCAAATGCAACATGCCTCGATTTGTCTGAAAAGATCCGATCATTCATGAAACTTCTACATGTTGCCTACCTTATCTGCTTTCTTTGAGGAACATGACATTGAACCAGACAAAAGGATTACGATGATAATTTCTGTGAAAGAACACTTGCACATGCTTGCAGACGAAATTTCATCGTACTTTCCAAATCTACCTGACACCCCATTTGCACTTGCCAGAAGCCCATTCACAGTCCAAGTTGAAGATGTTCCTGAGACAGCACAAGAGGGGTTGATTGAACTTATTAACAACGATGCAGCGAGAACTGATTTCTCTACAATGCCAGTTACAAAATTCTGGATTAAGTGTTTGCAGTCATGTCCTGTTCTGTTTGAGACTGTTGAGCCTTCTTCTTCCAGTTCCAACAACATATCTTTGTGAAACATTTTCCAGCTTGTTGGTTAACAAGTCTAAATACAGAAGTAGACTTGTTGTGGAAGATGATCTTCATTGTGCTCTTGCAAAGACTGTCTCGAGAATTTCTGATCTGGTGAGAAAGAAGCAATCTCAACCTTCGCACTGACCTTGGTTTTTTACGCATACTGTCGCAAAATGTAGCAATGTAGTTTACTGTTGTTATATTAAGACTGTTACCCATGCTACACCATGCTTCAAGACAAAATTTCATTTATTTGTAATTAGAAATAAATATTTCATAATATATAATTACATATTGTTTTTGTGATTAATCACTATGCTTTAATTATGTTCAGTTTGTAACAATGAAAATACATCCTGCATATCAGATATTTACATTATGATTCATAACAGTAGCAAAATTACAGTTATGAAGTAGCAACGAAAATAATTTTATGGTTGGGGTTCTCCACAACATGAGGAACTGTATTAAAGGGTCGCGGCATTAGGAAGGTTGAGAACCACTGTACTAAAGGTTGATGTTTGCATATCTTAGGACCAAGCAATTTAGCTGGTTGGTATATACTCAACAGAAAGGCATGCATATGTGTACCAGGCAATATTTTAAATAGTTCAAAATTGAACACAATCCAAATGGCCATCAATAGTAGAATGGATAAGTAAATTGTCATATATTCATATACACTAGAGTACTAACATAGCACTAGAGTACTAACATAAAATGAGCAAATAATGGGTTTACACTACAACATGGATGACTCTCATAAAAACAGAATTGTTAATGGCGGTATTTGACCTCAGTTCTTGAGTTCAGCAAAGAAAGAATTCAGAGCCAAGAACTCTAGTGCAAGAAGTTTATTTAGGAGAAAGCAAGATGGCGACATAGGTAAACACCAGAGATTGCTGCCTCACAAAACCACTTCAAACATACAACTAAAATGAACGGACAACATCATCCAGAACCACAGGAAGGCTGGCTGAGTGGAAATTCTACAACTAGAAGGAAAGAGAAAAGCATACCAAGACTCAGAGGAGGTGCGGTGCGGAAGTAAAATACAAAGATGCGGAGGTGCATGTGGAGAGGGCTGGCAGCTGAGGATGCGGCACAAGTGGAAAGGGCTGGCAGCTGAGGACACGGTTGTCTTTTTCAATCAGGAGGGAGTCTCAAGCTCTGAGATCCAGTTCTGGGCGAGTCTCTGGGGACCCAGACTCATACGGGAGAAACGAGACTGTCTGGCATCAGTCGGAACTCGAGGGCAGCTTTCTCTCGGAGGTGCTGGCAGGGATTGCCGGGACACTGAGGAGCGGGGCCTCTGAGGGCAGGACTGAGAGCAGCCATAACTGCTTGCTCTGTCCTGTTGATCCCCTGGGACCCCGCCCCGCCCAAGCTGCACACAGAGGCTTTTGCATATGAAAGGCCCAGCCCTTTGCAATCTGAAAATTACTTAACAAACTGCAGCTGGTCCAAGGCCCATGGCAACTTGCATTCCTTCACAGCTGGCTTCTGCTGGGTAGCCTCAGGCAGAGGCTAGATTAGCACCTCCTTAGAGATCCATTCTCCCACTGCAGAAACAGCTGATTCTCACAGCCAATTGGCCTGGAGGTCAATCCCTCCCAGTGTTACCTACAACAATCAAGGCTTAACTACAACAACACTGTGCACAAAGCCCACAAGGGGGTGCACCAAGAGTGTCTACCTCAGGTAATTGGGGAGGCTGAGCCACTGGGCCCTATAGGACAC